ATGTGTGGCAAAAAAGAATATTTTATATATATGTATATATATAAATTTTTTTAATATTTATGCCAATGTACTCACTCAGTACAAATAGCAAAATAGTTATACCATTTTCCTAAATATAAAATATAGCTTTCCAAAAAAATGAAACACACATTAGATATAAACCATCCAAAACTTGAACGATTGAAAACTGTATTCAAAATTAAATGACCCAGAGCAGGTCTCTTTCTGAAAAGTTCCCTTCATATCGGCAAGAAGCCTTACTACTGAAAACGTAATTCAATGCCTCTCAATGAGAGAGAGAAAGAGAGAGACAGAGAGAGAAAGTGAACGTCGTGACAGACCCACAGACGGGAGCATCCCGGAGGAACCAACGCAACTCTACACGGCTCAACTACACACGAGTTAAGGGGAAAACACACAGTAAACAGACTGGAGGAACTTAAAAAAAACCCCACCATTTACAGACTGTTCTTTTGTTATTTCAAATAACAAAAAGGAAAGATGAACGTGATACCAACTACACTCTACCGAGGCCTCGTGGGTTAGCCCCGAAGGGTCTCAACGAGGCTGTAGTGAGGGATCACAAACTGTCTGGAGAGTTGAAGCACCCAAAAGTATTCACATGCCTCACAAATACACCTGCATGGTCTTGGAGTGGGTTGTTTGTACATTCTGTGACATCAGTCAATGGTTTGTTTTGGACTGAACATGACGACCTAGAGACCAGACTGGGGGAGAAAGGGAAAAAAAATCACTTCAGAACTGCAATGAGCTCCACGTGCTACAGAGATGCAACAGCTCAGCGTGAAGTGACCTTTTAAGAAGGCTTAAAAATGATGCAATTTGCCCCCCTACTTGGAGTAAAGCCAAGCTGAAGATTTCCATCAGTCACAGCTGGAAAATGGTTAAGGGGATTCCTGCATTTAGAAGGTGGTGGAGAAATTGCTTCCTCTCTCCTTACTCCTTGATTATTTGTCAAAGCTTCTACTGTCTAAGCAATTAACTGCCAAGGATTCCTAAAAGCTGATTCTGAGCTTTAAAGCCAGTAGGATATTTATGTCTTCTTGTAAAAAAACACAGTATGAAACTGAGGGAGAGAAGGAAAACCATGGAAAGAAAGGAAGAAAGAAGAAACAGCTGATGAGGCTTTACAGAGCTCTAACCCATCAGTCAGAGTGAGAGACACAGGAGTTCCTTTCTCAGCCAAGCAGAATGTTTTTTTCAAGCTGAAGGTGTTATAGAGAAGGAGATTTTAGAGGCTGAGGGAACTGGGGTTGTTTGGCCTGGAGAAGAGGAGGCTCAGGGATGACTTTCTCACTCTCTACAACTCTCTGACAGGAGGTTGTAGCCAGGTGGGGTCAGGCTCTTCTCCAAGGTAACAAGACAGGACATAGCCTCAAGCTGCACTAGGGGAGGGTTAGGTTGGACATTAGGAAGAATTTCTTCACAGAAAGGGAGATCAGACACTGGAATGGACTGTCCAGAGAGGTGGTGGAGTCACCATCCCTGGAGGTGTTCAAGGAGAGACTGGACGTGGCACTCAGTGCCATGGTCTAATTGACATGGTGAAGATCAGTCACAGGTTGGATTTGATGATGTCCTAGGTCTTTTCCAACCTCAATGATTCTGTGATTATAAGACCAATTGGGAGTTCCCCTTCATTTCTTCATTTTGTAGAGCCACCAAACCCTTGCTCTATGTACAGATAAGAGACATGGCAAACTGTTGATCCCATTCTCATAGGGGAACTCCCAACCTCTGGCTATCCACAGCAGCAATTTTCTGCTGGGTACCTACAGTTATCAGTATTTCCAATTACTAAGTCGCAGTTTTGGCTCTCCCACTCCATGCCAACCATGAGATCCCTCAACGTACTGATAGCTGAGTCACAGCTTGTGCCAGAGGCAACTGCTGCTTCTGCTTCACGAGCTTCCCTAGGCAAGAGAGAGGATGGGAAGAAGGAAGAGGAAGGAAAAAGTAAACGTGGTAACATGGATTACCTTCTAACAACAATAATAACTGACCAGATATGCTTTAAATTCCAAGAGCCCCCACTGAGGTGAGGTCCAGGAATCTGGTAACAGCACAACCCCAGGCCCCAGTAACACAAAGCATAGCTCCTCAGCATTATTGGCACTACAGAGCCCAAATTCTATGGTGGTGGCTTCAGGGCTGCCATCAGCCACGTATGTGCTCTTTAGAGGTGGGCCACGTTCCCACAGGAGCAATCAGTTCCACGCAGCCTCAGCCAGAGTCGGAAGGTCTGGGAGGATCTGGGAAATCGTCGCGTTTTTCCTTCACAGAATCTCTGCAGGAGAAAACAAGCAAGCAGAGAAGTCAGGCACAGCCACCCACAGTCACCCTTTCCCTGCTGTGCAGTGCCTTCCTCTGCAGTGTGTTCTGCACCAGCAGGCTGCAAACTAGGGGTGAGCAGCAGGACAAGGAACTGGGGAGACCCTATAGACCTTTACAGTACCCAAAGGGGCTCCAGGAGAGATGGAGAGGGACTTGGGACAAGGCCTGGAGTGACAGGACATGGGGTATGGCTTCCCACTGCCAGAGGGCTGAGATAGACGGGATAGTGGGGAGGAATTCTCCCTGCAAGGGTGCTGAGGCACTGGCACAGAGAAGCTGTGGCTGCCCTATCCCTGGAGGTGTCCCAGGCCAGGTTGGATGGGGCATGGAGCAACCTGTGCTAGTGGAAGGTGTCCCTGCCCCTGGCTGGGGTGGAACTTTAAAATCTTTCCAACCCAAACCATTCCAAAATTCCATGATCAGAATGCAGTGTTCTTCCCACAGCAGGATCACTCTCCTTCCACTCTTTCACTTATGTTTCTTTTTTAAGCTCCTAACTCCATACAAAAACCTCTTTAAATTAGAAAATTAACTGTATCACCAAAGTGAAACCCATGGGGGATTTAGAATAGCAGCACAGTCAACCAGACCCAGGTAAAGACTGAAGACAACACTAGATTCCAAAGTCCTCCCAGTCCTTGGTGCTCATCTGTAGTCAAAGCCTCTTTCCCCCCTCTGAAAAAGACACCTTCTGAGAGCAGAATGTCTCCTAGGAACAGCTGATGGTGTCAGCAACTTTCTAACAGCCTCAGCATGTGGCACACTCAGGAGATGTCACATCCCACCCAAACCTGTTTTCACATTACACTATTGTAACCCAGGAGGCAAGTTCAGAACAGTTCAGACTTGAGGTGTTACTTACTCAATAAGCCTCAAGTTTTTAACTATAGTCACATTTCTTAAGGTTTCTATGCGTGATGCTGTCAGTGATCCACTCTCCTTCCTAACTCAGTACCAGACTGTGACAGCAGATGACAAAACATATGAAAACTGATCAACAAGACCCAGTCTTAACTGTTTTGTACAAATTCTGACCTCTGACTAGTCTTGATAACTCTTCATTCTGGTATTACAGTCTTAATTCAGCATCTCTGGTGGTTTAGGTGACCTCTTAAAGCACTTAAAACACTCCAAGGTGAAAGTGTCCTGCTAAAAACACATGTGTTGCAGGAAAGCACCCAGAACCCAAACTCATCTTACCCAATTAAAAGGAGCCAGCCATGTTGTTCCCCTGGTTTTGCAAGGACACCAGCAGATCATCGATTTTCTCCATGTTCTGGTTGGTTCCCATGCCCGAGGGCAGCGGCGAAGTCTCCGAGATCTGCTGGGAGAGCAGCGCAGGCACCGCGGCCTGTCCCTCGGCCTGGGGCTGCCCCGGCTGGCTGATGGCCATCAGCTCGTCCGGCAGTGTGGCTGGGCCAGAGGTGAGCAGCTGGCCACAGTCTGTGGGCAGGAGGGAGGGACAGAGGAACATTTCACTTCGGTTAAGTCAAAGAGTTCACCCAGCAAAGCACACACACATGGGTACAACTGTGGGCAAAGAACAGCTGTGGTACTGTGCAGAGCTGCTCTGGGCTGTGTCACCATCACCTGCCACTGCTGCAGCTCCACAGGCACCTGCAGACCTTTACAGGCAGAGGAAGGATGTACATTCCACAGAACTGGTCATGGAGGATAAGCCAGAGGAGAGATATGGAAAAGTGCAGGTTTATACAGCTAAAGGGGATACAAATACACTTCAACAGACACTTTTGGACTACACAGCTCCCAAAATCCTTCAACAGTGTGTGGAGATACTGGAGAAACAGGCTGGTTTCTCCACACACTGGAGAAAGCAAATCCAGCCAGAGAAATGCTCTCTTTAGACAGCATAATCATTCCTAGATTAGATATTAGGGAGAAATTCACCCTGTGAGGGTGCTGAGGCACTGGCACAGGTTGCCTAGAGCAGCTATGGCTGCTTCTTCTCTGAGACTGTTCCAGGCCAGGTTGGATGGGGCTTGGAGCAACCTGGGTTAGTGGAAGGTGTCCCTGCCCATGGCAGGGGGGGGGATGAGATGATCTTGGAGGTCCCTTCCCACCAAAACCATTCTATGACTCTATAATTCTATGAGCAGCTCTTTTAACTTGTAAGCTCAGTTGGGCACCTGTCACTTACTGTTACGAATGCCAAACAGGAATATTCCTGATGTCTGCTGGGATGAGGCAGGGGAATTCTGCAGCTGGTTGATGGCACCTCCTGCTGTGTTGTGAAACAAAGGAGCCTGTTGCTGGGGAGGAGAGGCAGTTCCTGGCAGCCCTGCCATGCTGTTCTGGGAGGAGTACATGGGGGACTGCTGCAGCTCTGGCTGGCTCATGCTGTTCTGCAGGGCAGACATGGAAGCTGAGGAGATGAAGAGGGTGACTTGTTGCTCTTGAGAACTTGGGGACCCTTGGACCAGCTGAATCTGGGGTGAATTATGGAAGATGGCTGGCTGCTGTGCTTCGGCCTGGTTGGAGCCAGGGTTCTGGAGAGAGGACACTGTGGTCTGGCTCTGGAATTGCATGGGCTGCTGCTCCTGGTTCATCGGGGCCATGTTAGTCTGAGGGTGAAAAATGGACTGGCCTTGCTGCTCCTGATTGGTAACTGGGTTTTGGTTGGGATTGAAGATCATGTTCTGCTTCTGAGAGGCCATTGTACTCATTGCATTCTGGTTGCTGAACATCATGTTCTGCTGCTGCTGTTGCTGCTGTTCTTGAGCTGGAGGGCTGCTCTGGATAGCAACGATCGAATGCTGAGGCTGGAAGATAGCTCCTTGTTGGTTCTGAGGAATGGAGCTGGACTGGATGGAGCCCAACGACACTTGAGACTGAAACAAACCCTGCTGAGCAGGCTGAGCCTGGGGCTGCTCCTGGGGCAGCATGGAGCTCTGGATGTGAGATATCTGCGTCTGCTGCTGGAAAGAAGTCTGCTGCTCTGTGTTTGTTGCTGTCTGGAGAGGAGAGATGGAATTTGGGCTTGTAAAGAATGACATCTGCTCTTCCTGAGTGGCAGGGTTGCTCATGGAACTCTGGGAAAGGAACATGTTGGCAGACTGCTGGTCTTGAGGAACTGAGGAGCTCTGCAAGACACCCATGGCGTTCTGCGAGTGGAACATCGGAGGCTGCAGTTGGTCAGAGGAGTTAGTGTTGGTCTGGTTGTGGACTATGGAATTTGAGCCGTGAAAAAGAGAGCCTTGTGTCTCCTGGGATATATTCTGAGTATCACCAATCGGATTCTGTGAGTGGAAAAGCTGAGCCTGTGAGTGTGGAGACTGCTGCATGAAGTTCCCCGACTGAATCGACATCATCTCTCCGCCCTGCTGGAACAGAGCTCCTCCCTGCTGCTGAGTCCCACTTGCCTGCACACTCATCATGGTTTTGGTAGATGAGAAGAGGTTAACCTGGGACTGACTTTCCCCGCTGTGCTGCATCTGAACCATGGTCTGAAACACAGAGCTCTGCATCTGCTTGCTCTGCCCTGAAGCCTCTTCCCCGTCTGCAGAGCTCGATGCTTGGAAGATGGCAGTGCTGTTGTTGGAGACCTGGGGCTGGGCAGGGGCAGCTGCCTCACTTCCAGACACTCCTGGAGAGGAGGAGAACAACTCACACTGCATCTGCATGTCCTCATTGGTTGATAACCCACTCATCATGTGAGAAGCCTGCTGGTACACAGGAGACTGCTGCAGGGCTCCATTCCCCGAGGTCGTGGAGGAGAACAGATCTGACTGCATCTGCGTGGCAGCCTGGCACATGTTCTGCTGCATCCCCATCACCATGGAGGTCTCCATGGCCTGTGGCTGCTGCTGCTGCTGCTGCTGCTGTTGGTTGGACAGAGTGTTCTCAGGCTGGGAGTGAACGTTCTCAGCTCGGCCCGGCAGAAGGTTCTCCGGTCGGGAATGGACAGCAGTGTCTGAGGAGGGAAACATCCCAGGATTGACACTGTTCTGTATCTGGCTAACCTGCTGGAAGATGTCTGCGTTCAGCTGGTCCTGGACATCTTCACTGCTGTCTGAGCCAGAGAACAAGACGGAAGATAACTGCTGCTGAGCCTCCAGAACCTGCTGCACCAAGTCCACGTTCCTATTGCTGCCGGTGGCAGTGTTGGTGGGAAAGTTCCCAGCCTGGAGCTGCTGTATGGTGTTCTGCAGCTGACTCACTCCACTGGCTGACGAGAAGATGCTCGATGAAATCTGCTGCTGCAAGGCCTGTGCTGGCTCTGGGAGCGTGGACTGCTGTTGTTGGGATGCATCAGTCAGCTGGGACAGTGTCACCACTGTGCCATCCGACTGCAGCACGTCCCTGGCCTGGGAATCCCTGGCCTGGAACTGTGCAGCTTGCTGCAGCAGTGCATCGCTGTTCTGCAGCTGTGCCGGGGTGGACACTGTGGAGAAGCTGCCAGGCTGGGAAATGTCCTGTGTCTGGATCGTGCTCAGGGTCTCTGGGGTGAACACCTTGGGCTGGATTTGCTGCTGGTTTTCACTTTCAGAAGGTAAATGGGAAGCAGAAGTTGATATGCCAGACATGCTGTTTTCCAAGGTTTGCTGAGTTGGTCCAACCACATTTGAAGCCTGAAGAGAACAAGGACATTGGGCAGTTTATAAACTTACTTGGCTGGTGCTGATAAAATTTCCCCCTGTCCCCTATGTTCAGGGAAGATCAGAGGAAAATGTTATGGCTGTGCATCTCTCCAGGCATACCCAAACCAGCAAGCAAATGATTAACAGTGGAAATGCTACTTCAAGGATGGAGTTGAGGTACAATTCCATGAAAACAATGCTAGGAACTGATTAAAAGAATATTTTTACAGTAATTCACTAGTTCTGTGTCACAAGACCAAAAACATCATCACAGTATCCCTAGCCAATCAATCTGTTTGAGTGCAGGAACCAGGTGAGTTATCTAAGGAAATTATCTGTTGTACTCGTGCTCTGTAATCGTGTTTTGCCCAGACTGATCCTGGACATGGCATTTTCCCTGTCTATTACTATTCTCCACTATTAAAACATGGATCAATGGGCAGGAGTAATAGACTCTCAGAGTTGCTGCCCTCACCTCCCCTCCAGACTCACCTTGAACTCAGAGGGAGAGCATTTTTCTGCACTTACTTCCATTGGAGCCACATCTTCATTCTTGATCATACTGCTTGGCATGAGTGGAGTTATCAAGGCACTAGGAAGAATGTTCACCTTCTCCAGGTTACAGCCCGTGGCCTTCACTGCTGCAGCCACAAATGACAAAAGAAGAGGGACAGGGAGAGGTTATCATCCACCATGCACAGAGCAGGGCTCTGGGGGTGCTCTGCTCCCATGTCAGCCCCACCACAAGAGCTCTCCTCCTCAGACAAGGTGCTGATATGCACAGAGATCATTGCAAACACTTGAATGCCTCAAATAATCCTGGAAAACCTTCAAAGGTTATTTTTTAGATTAACAGCAACGCCACAGTTTTGGTTTCCTTCCATTTAGTACCTTTCTAGACCAGAACAGCCACCCACCAACTGCAAACAGGAAAGCTTCAGGCATCTTGCCTCAAATTACCTGATTTTAAACTTCACTTCAACTGCACAACTTCTCTGTTTCATTTTGAGAAAAGTCAGTTCTCAGGTAACAAGTGAACAGAGTGCTCAAAGCATCCAGACTGTATTTTCATCCTGTTAAAGGACTAATCAAGCAACAACTTGATAAATTTGCACACCAGCTCAGCAGCAAGTTTGTTAGCTGCCTTTGCAGTGCCTAATTTTTAAGTAGAAAAGAGGCTTCTTAAAATGAGTTAGATCTCTTCAGTTTTAATTTTAATTTCATAGAATCCTGGAATGGTTTGGGTTGGAAATGACCTTAAATCTCATCTCATCCCACTCCCTGCCACGGGCAGGGACACATCCCACTAGCCCAGGTCGCTACAAGCCCCATCCAACCTGGCCTGGAACACTTCCAATAATTCTTCCTGATCCACATAAAAAAATTCCATGAACTATCCCAGATCCTTGCTGTGAAGAAACTAACTTTCTTGATTTCAAATACTACTGAGATTGAGTTTAACCCAAACCAACAGGAAATCCTGTAAAAACCATCATTCCATAAGTCCTTTTAAATGAATGAAAGAACTAACCTTCAATGCAAAGCAACAGATCTCCAAGCTTCAACCAAATTTAACCCTTACAACAATGTGGCAGTAAAATTCTGCCACTGTATACAGTGTGAGGAAGGACAGAGCAGAGACAAAGCATACAGAATATCTGACCTCTGGTTCATCACCAACCCGGAGCAGAACAGGTAAAGGAATGACCCACCCCAAAAGAGCTGCCTGGCACAAATCCACAGGAGAAGGTGAATTAGGATTTACTGCAGGAATGAGGTAGAGGCTCTGAAGGCCCCGAAATAGCAGGTTGTGTTTGGAGGAGCAGCAGCTGTTCTGCTGGAGCAGTTGGGATCTTCCCTCGGTTCAGCCTCCACACAAACTAGATGGATGGCAGCCTCACCCTCTGCATTAGCTATTCTTTCCCTCATGCTTCTAGAAGCCTTCCCAGGCCTCTTCCCAACTTGTTTCACTGCCCTACATAGCTCTGCATATTTCTGCCCCCAAATATGCTCTGCAGGTTCAAACTCATCATATCTTGTATTATCCTCTCTAACAAGTTGTAAAGTCAACTTGTAAATCCTTCCCCTGCCAAGGCCAAGCTATTAAGTTCAAACACCAGCTCTGTGGGTTTCACCTGCAGCTACGGATTCCTATCACACCTGTGATCACTCTGCTCATTGCTCACCTTCAACCTGCTTTTCCAGAGCAGCCTGTGGAAATTTCCAGTCATCTCTGTGCACCACCAGTTTTAACAGGCAACTGAGAGACATTTCCTTCCTCTGTTTCAATATTGGAAGGATCAATTTACATTTAAATAAGAGGTAAACTTAAAAGTTGCTCCCTTGGATAAAAATGACAAACTTTGTATGTGCAGAATGGTCAAGAAATAAATCCTCACTGAAGGGAAAGTGTTGGAATTCCCAGAATTAACGTTTTTAACTAGACCCACTGAAAGCAGTACCATAAAACCTATAAAAATATAACTTCTGAAACACACCAGGTAGTCACACTCATGTTTTTCAGTGCTCAGCCCTTCCCCAACACTACCTTTAGGTGTGTTTTTGCTTAAAACAACACTGCACAGTCCCTAAATCCTTCATATTAACTGCCATCTTGGGCTTCTGTTTTCTTCTTCACTTGCAAACATATGAAAAAAAGATTTTGTTCTATGTTAGCTCATATCAAATTGTACTTAAAGGAATATTGTATAAAGTGAAACATTCAGAGTCAGAAAACAAACCTCCCTGCAAGAACATGGCCAGAGTTTATAAGCACAGACTTATCACAGGATGTCTGCTTCATTCCTCCAAATTTGGGCAGGAATTTATAGTTAAATTATTAACAACACTGATAAGAATCAATTTAGTACCTTTTATAGCCTCTTCAAAAGAACAATGTTGGGCTGGGCTGGAGATTTCCTTCTTCACATTAACATTCAGAGTCCCAGCTGCTGAGACAAAACACATTGAGAACTTCCTTATGTTAAATCAGCAAACAAGCCAAAAACACACAAAGCAAACCAAAAAAGTTACTTATAGCGGAAAAAAATTCAGGTTCTTTGAAACCCACACAAACCTTTGCCCTGTGTATTATGATACACATAAACAAGCCAAAACACATGAAATGGGCAAACTGCAGCTTTCCTCAGGACAGAGCTTGGTGGCATTTCTTGGTTTATTTGGTGAACTGGATGGAATATAGCTAAATTTTTCCTGCTCAGCTTCATTTTGAAGCTTAAACCAGAGCTGGATGCTGCTCTGTGAGAACAGCTGACTCCATGCAGCTGGAAATTGAGATATTTGCCACATAAATGAGAAAAGCAAAAGTCTTTTATTATGATTTCATTATGAACAGAGCAAAACTTGCCTGCAAGAGGAGTTTGGAAAGATCCACAGTGTATGGACTAAACACTGTGCAGTCAGAACTGAGACGTTCAGCAAGCAAAGAGCCCATTCCTCCCCTCAGTTCTGTGCCTCCCATACCTGGATCTGGAGTGTAGGTAAATGGCTGCACATCATGTGATCTCCCAGCATTGGTCACCACGTATATTCCCACAGAAACAGCTGAGGTTATTTGCTGGTCATGATATGGTGGCACCTTCACTATGAGGTGGTTCTGCAGGGCAAAAAGCATTTAGAAATCACATTACAAACCTGGTCCCATTACTCTAGACCTTAACTGTATTTACATCCATCCAAAGAGAGAAATAGACCAACAAACCACCATAAAAATCAAGGATATCGGGGGAAGTGCACGTGTGGGACACTGCCTTCGGAGGGGGAGCAGGAGAGCACTTGTTCAACATCATTTGCACCTAATAATTCCCCAGTTTCAGCGCAACAGTCCACAAAGGCACTTACTTGTGTCAAAAAGAATAAATACTCTATGAAACACTTCAGACTTGAACAGAAATTCAGTCACATAAAAATTGTGTACACACAATCTATTTCCACTCAGTAGTAATCTGAAGTATCCTTAAGAAAATCCCTTTTTTATCTTAGGGCACAGACCTGCTCACCAAGCCCATTATGGTACCCAAGTTCTCAATTAGAAGAGGAATAATTACACTTGTGTAAACTCCAAATTATGTTCTACCAGACTCTACAGAATTTATGTGGATAAAAGGAATATTATTTCTAGAAACACAAAGAAGGCAAAGGCTTCATTGACTTTTCCTTAGAGGCAGAGTAATATTTAACTAAAAATATTATTATAAGAACAGCGAGAGTTCATATATAGTAATATATAATTATATGTATAATATATATGGCAATATATAAAATAACAGTAATAGCAATAGCAGAGATGGTAATATTGGCAGTAATAATAATACAAAAGTACCTGATGAAACAATTCCATGTCAATTTCAGCTTCTGCCTTCCAAGAATTCTCATCTAAATGAAAATTAAAAAGCATAATTTACTGCACATCCCATAGAGCAATTTCTTTCAGTGCCTCTGATTCTGCTCCTCAGATTGCTCTGAGCTTTATCAAGACATGAACCCCAACCCCAGACTCCCCTCAGTACCCCAACCAGCACTGCTGCCATACTAACCCGAAACATTCTCTTGGAAAATCACTTTTGTTCCCTTTAGGAAGTTCTTGCCAATCAGAAAAACTTCCTCTTCACCCTTGACTGAACAGCTGTGGAGGCTTTTCTTTAGGATCTCTGGAACTCCTGCTGGCTGAGCTGCAAGGGGACAGAAAAGAGTCTGGCATCAAGAAAAGAGCAACATCCAAACCAAACCAAACCAAACCACTTTTACTTACCGGATTGTGCAGGAGAGAAGAAAACAATTCCTGAGCCTCCTCCTTTCCTACATCATCCATGACAAACTCTTCAGGAGAGAATCATTTCTATTGTTTCCTCACTAAATATAACCTCACAAAAACCACCCTGAGCTTAATGATCCACCAATAACCTTTTCCCTTTCCTCCTGCATTATTAAATCTTCAAAACCAAACTCGCAGTGGTGGAGCCAAAGGTCCAGAAATGCTCAGGAGAGAAGCAAAAGTGGTGCTGTAATTCACTGGGGCTGAGAGTGATCACCAAAGGCATCAGCCCTCGGACACAGCTTAAGTTCACCTAAAACTTCAGCCTTAAGGTCAGAAAAACTTGGGGTTTTATTAAGTTTATTGTGTTTTGCTCTGCAAAAGAGCAGAAGCAGTAACTCCCCTCCTACCTGGGGGTTATTACACAGGGTTTTTTAATGATGTGCTTTCTGGCTGGTGCAGGAACTACCCCAGGGCTTGGAGCAGCCTGGGCTAGTGGGAGGTGTCCCTGCCCGTGGCAGGGGGTGGAGCTGGATGAGCTTCAAAGTCCCTTCCAAATTCTTGCAAGACTCAGTCAAGTCTCTGTAGTTGGGGATTTTAGCAATTTCCATCCAATAAACTACCAAAGAGGATGTGGTTTACACACACACCCCAGGACACCTCTGTGCCAGCGATTCAGGTGATGGTTTTATATAACAGCACAAACTGTCTGTGCTGCAAAGCATTTCTGTTCTCCTTAAAGCTTAAACCCAACAGGGCCATGAAATGAAAATGAGCACTGCAGACAATTCAAACAGACAAACATTTTAAACCAATGTGCTTTGACACAATATATACTAAAATTCCTATTTGGACCGAAGGTTTCTCAACTACCTTTTGTGCTCCCCACGAAACCCTGGCACACACTCCTGCTCTGCCCTTGCATGGCCCACTTTGAGTGTTTAATAACAATATTCTCTGGCCTTACTACACAGGAGAACATACATCCTGTACCACTCCAAATTATTTAATGACCTTTCAGAGAGGATTTCTCTACAACTCTGGCAGAGTGTTCCCAGGCAACCGTTACGCAACCACTAAATATGCTCAAGGCACATGAAAAGAGTAACTGGATTTCGGTTTGCTAACAAGTTAACAAAGCCTATTTAAAACACAGGCCTTAAATAAAGAGCCTGCAGCTACTTAATGCCTTTTCTATGGTTTCAGGAACATTATTGGTTATAAAACACAACGTGAACAGGCTCTGATGGGTGACACTGCAAACCTTGGTGAGAAGGTGCAGTGTACAGCTGTAGGAAGGTGTATGCAGCAAACAATCCAGGTGTGATGTGCTTGAGGAGATCATTTATAGGAACAAATAACTCAATAAACAACATAATCTTATGCCACATTTATCAGCCAGTACATATGTGCAGCACTGTTTGGTAGGCCAAGGTCTACTGCAAGTCACTGTAGCTGTGGCAAAAGCTAAGACAGAAGCACAATCCTGGAAGGAGCCCCAAGAACTCCCTTCTCAACCTTCACACCATGATCAGTTTTACCAACGTATTCCCCAAATACACAAGTCTGACCAGAAAATTTTGTTCCTTTGTGTTACACTTCCAGCACATAAAATTCCTGAGCAATCTCTTAGCAACTCACACAATAGGGAAGATTTTCTTAGCAAGTGACCAAACCTCAGTCTGCCAAAAACTAAACCAATTTACTCTTTGTTGCATCAAATACAGCTTTTTTTTTAGTTAAAGAGCCTATTTTAAAACCAGTCTCTGAATGCTTCATCTCAGACTCAGCTCCTATTCACAATCGCAAGTTTCAGAAAACATCAGGTGATTTCATTCCCTTTTCTTCTATGATTGAGATAGTTTTATCTTTAAGCAGGAAGTTACTGATACAAACAAAAGAGAGATAGAAACGGCTTGGGGAGATTTTAGAGAAAATGGATTTTTCTTTAGTCTGAAAGTTAATATCAGATACTGCATTAATATCTTGATAGATATATCAGCTATACAGATAAATCAGCTACTGCAATGCTCTGGTGACCACAGTGGAGCTGCAGAGACAACCACATTTCAGAAAAATAACCCAAAAAACCCTTTTTATACCATGGCAAGAGCCCAACACAAGTGCTTGGGAACTTGCCTAACCACACTCTGTTCCACATGTGGAGATAAAGTTCTCCATCTCGTTCAGCAAGAAATACCAGGAATCCCATCAACAGTTGCATCACACACCACACTTCCCTATCACTTCTCTGTGAAAGATGAGCACAATTGCCCTGGAATTCTGGCAATCACCACAGGCTCTGCAGCCCCTGATGCTCTGCAGCCTCTGATCTTGCCTAAAGCAGCTGTGGCTGCTCCAGCCCTGGGAGTGTTCCAAGCCAGGTTGGATGGGGCTTGGAGCAACCTGGGCTAGTGGAAGGTGTCCCTGCCCATGGCAGGGGGTGGAATGGGATGAGCTTTAAGGTCCTTCCAACCCAAACCATTCCCTGACTCTGTGCTTCCCTGTACCCCGTTGGTCAGTGCCTCCCCAGTCAGCACAGCCATCTGTGTTCCTGCTAAACAGAGCATTTTAATAAAGAGCTATAAAAAGTTTTGTTCTTGCACTGAACCAGAAGAGATTCAGCCTCTGGCCCACCCAAGGCCCACAGCTGCACACAGCGAGCCTTGCTGGCTTACTGCAAGTCCTTTCTAGCACTGAAAGCTGATGGATGAACATGATAATACAGAACAGATTAAAAGCTGTACCAAAAACACATTGTTCGAAGCAACCCTGACAAAAATTGTGACATTTTCAGAGGCAAAAATTCACTTAACTGATGAGCAGGAGATGTGTAACTATTTTTAAACACTTGTCCATAATTTTAACTAATGCCCCACCCCAAATGGAAATTAATCAACATGATCTTAGCAATTTGGAATGATCACAGATTTACACTGGGTGTTTTTTTCCCAAAGGCATTTTCATAGAATCACAGAATCATTTAGGTTGGAAAAGACCTCCTAAATCCTGTGACCCATCACCACCTTGTCAACTAGCCCAGAGCACTGAGTGCCACATCCACTCCTTCCCTGAACACCTTCAAGAGTGGTGATTCCACCACCTCGCTGGGCAGGACATTCCAATCCCTGACAGCCCTTTCCATGGATAAATCACCCGAAACCCCAGATTCCTGCAATATCAGCTCTTTGGCTTGGTACTCACTGCAGAGAATGGGGGAGGAAGGTGTCTGAAGGGTCAGGGTTGAGCCATCCTTGCGTGTGATGTTGACGCGAAAGACGAGGCGAGCGCGCGTGCTTTTCTTCTTTGACCCAGCAATGCCTATCCTGGCTTCCACATCAGCATTCCTCAGCTTCAGTATTCCCACACAGTCAACCCTAACAATGCAGAGTAGTGCAGAGTTTAACAGAGCTCCATAACTTCAGTGTCTTTAATAACCATTCAAGGAGTTCCATAAGCCACAGTCAAAAGTCTTGAGGTAATCACTGAAATATTATTATTTAGATGAAATCTCTCTATGACCTTTCTCAAGTTTCAACTCAGCCCTGCCTAATTTGGTGGATGAATCATGGGAGAAAGGCACAGGAAAGCACGAATAAAGCAGAAAATGCAATTTAGAATCCCAGCTCTCCACGTCTCCATCCTTAGGGCCAGGCCTGCAGGTGTAGGATTATTGCTACAAAACACTCTGCTTTCACTTAAGGAAAGCAGGAGTAGAGAAAAACTTTGCTGTAGTAAAGTACAGCAGAACCAGAGAAACATAGAGTTCATCTAAGGCTTGAATGTGCATATTATTGAGCAATGAGGATGTGAAACCAACATAACAAAGTTAACTGATGAAATCTAAGGAAAAGCAAATTAAACATGAAGTATAATAAACTGAGAAGGTAATTTGACAGTTTTTCTATCCATGCAGCCTCACTCAGTGCCTGGAGTATGCCAAGTGCTTAGGCTTTAACCACTAACCCACCCAGGCAAGAAAGGAACATCAGTTCCCCAAAATGAGCTAATCAATGAAAACACCGACAAAAAAAGCCACTCACGCCAGTGTCATGTTGTTGCTTGGGTCCAGCCCCACCTCGATGACAGTGGTCCCCTCGATGTCCACCTCTTTGCAGGGGGTGGTGTTCCTGCCAGTGACCCTGCAGGCCTGGTAGAACCCGTGAGGCTTCACGCGCCCGGAGTCGTTGCCCACGAACACCTGCAGCACCACGGGCTCGTTGTGGCCTTCCAGCTGGAACAGACAGACAGCTCAGTGACAGGTGCAGTCATCCTGCCAGTCATTAATTCTTTGTAACACAGCTGCAATCCTATCTGGCTTCAGACAGAGTTATCCCAACCCAACTCTTAGCTCTCTTACAACTCTCACCCCATGACTATTCCACTGTCTCTTCCCAGGATTTCCTTTTCCCCCAACACCTATATCCACCAGACAGCTCAGAAGGAGAACATTTGCTGGAGTTGCTTCCAGAGTTGATGAGAATTTGTTGGTCAATAGGTGCATGCCCATTAATCACTGGCATTCCAGGATCCCACCAATCAGATACACCCTGAAATCCTCATGAAACCAGATTAAAATTGTCCAACACTTGGAAAACCACTGGAAGAGTCAGAACAGGATGAAGGGGGAGCAGAAGAAAAGGGATGATTTTATGGTCCAAGCACACCAGCTCAGCTTTCCTTCAGACACCAAAATAAAAATGGGAACCTGACATCTCCTACTTAAAGCTTATGAACAGTGCCAGGGACACTTTGGGTCAGCCATTTGAACACCCTCCTGCAATCCCAGGTACAAGCCATAATTATCCCAGAACGTGTCAGTGAAAAGTACATTCACTTCTATAACTCCACATCCTGGCATGAAATGGTTTGTGTCCTTTTAATGCTCCTTTGATTAGTGGGATCCCACTGTGGTGCCACAGACTAAAAATACTCTGAGGCAGAAGTAAAAGAAGTCTTGAAGTAAACCTGGACACTGCACTACAAGGAACATCTTCTTTTTAGGAAATAGTTAAGAAAAATGTTCCAAGTGAAAAGAAACACTAGATTGCTGCCAAATTCCCAGGCTAGAGGTGGACATTCTTTGCCAGAGGATTCTAAGAGGAGATAAAATGAGTGTTTTAATGCTTCTCCTACGCCACATTTGCTGCTCCAGGATTTCTGGGTGCTGATGTTGTTTGTCCTAGGCCTGGGAGCCCAGGCAAGACCTGCAGAAAGAAGCTCAATTCTTATTAGTAAGGAGATGCAAATGAGAGCAGAATCCTCAGGAGGATCTCTGGGGGGATTAGTCCCTGACACACTTAGAAAATAGAGTTCTGCAGTTCTTAGTTAGAATAAAGGAGAAACTAAATAAATCAGCAAACACTGCTAAAATCTTTGTGTGCTCCTCGTGTGCAAGAGGAGCAAACAGCAAATGTGACCATTACAGATGGGCAAAGCCAAAAGATCCATGGAGATGGCCAAGCACACTCTCATGTATGAGCCACAGGGACAACAGGTACAGCTCACAGCAAAGGGCTCAACAGCTGAGGGAGCAGAACGAGGCAAGAGTCCATGAAAATGGCTGAGAGGATTTACTCTCCCCAGGAAGGCAGAGAGAGTGAGGAGGGAAGGGTACTCTGACTTTCTACCCTTGAAGATCTTTTGCACAAAAGGCTGAATGAATGGCCTTTGTGTCATGTCCCCAGGGTCCCCTAGGCCAGAAGCAACATCACCCCAGCTCACCAGTGCTGCTTGTCCTCCCTGGTACTCCTGTCAGAAGGTGCAAAAGGTGTGTGAGAGCATCTCATCATCTGGATGGAAACTGCTCCAGCCTTGCAATAACATTAGCAACAACACCTGAAACTCTGGTCCTTCCTTTTGCCAGAGCAGTCACTTGATCAAGATTTGTTTATAGGATTTTAACACTGCATATTGGTTGCAACTTGCTGCACCCAAGTGGCTCCCAAGCACCAGATATCTGCCGAACCACCAACACTTTCACACTGTCCTTCCCCACCTTTAAACACACACAAACTCCATGAACAAAACAAAAGCTCCTTTGTCCTTAACTTATTTTTTCCCCCCACTAGCTCAGATTTCCTGAAGATTCACTGACTCATTTGTCTGCCCAGCCCTGGCAGAGTTTTATCTGCAGGGTATGAACTCGTCTGCCTACTGGTAAAGCAAACTGGGACTTCCAGGAATTCAGTAACATGAGGCTCTTCCAAACAGAATTTTCACTGGTGAGTGCTAAAGGGTAACTGGGAAAGGAATTAAAAGGAAATTCAGATGAACAAAGGCCCATTAAGAAAATCCACAGAAATGAACACTAAATCCCCATAGCAACAGGCTGATATGAATGGATTCTTTTCTTATGAAACTTTACTGGAGTTCTGCATTACTCAGGAGGGCTGAGTGAGGGGCTGCTGTGGCTTCCAGCACTCCTAGCAGGACTTTAAAGATAAGCCTCCTTCAATATTCTGGCAGCAGCAGTCAGCACAGATTTTAAGGGCTGTATGGCAAACAAAACTTTCTTTGTGGACCTGGTGACTAAGTCTGGGTTGAGAACTGCTTTGCTGCTTTCTCAGAGTGACATAACTAAGAAAAACTATGAAAGAAACTGTCTTTCACCCTACTCGTATGATAACAAATCTAGCTGTCTATTCACTCAATCTGCTGGTCACACTCCTCCCAGCATGACCAGTATGCCACTTGTCACGGTTCCAGTGCAGTGCTGGTCTGGACTCAGCTCTCTGTCGACTCTCACAATCACACTGTGGTTGCTGCAACTCGTGTGAGGGTATTCGGTATCAGTTGCTGTGTTTCTCTCTCCAAGTCCAGCCTTTCTCCTAGTGAGCCTCTCTCCCAACTGCATTAGGAAAGCCTGTCTGGACTGCACCAGCTCCCATTCCATTGGGCATCCCTAGGACAGCAGTGCCTGTGTCTCCCAGCCTACCTTCACAGTGGGGAAGCCTTGCTGTGTCCGGTCCTTGACGGAGCCACGGCTGCCCTCAGTCAGGTACCGAGCTCTGTGCTGGGTCTCCGGCTGCACCACTATCTTCAGCTCCTTCCCCTCACTCTTGGTTGGATACTGACCACACAACATTGGGGTCTTCTTCCCTCCAGCTCCCTTCTGGTTCTCTGATGCTCTGGGAAGTCAAAGCAGACCATCAAGAACATGTTAGGAGCAGCTCCCCAATGAAAACAAACCAAATCTCAGCAAAGCTAAAAGAACAAAGAGTGTGTATTAATGGGTAGAAGAGTTGCAGTTGAGAGCAAACTTTGGGATTCTCTTTCTGACAGAGAAGGAAACCTGCAGGATGAAGAGGAATGATGCTTCCCTGCCTCCTCCATCCAGAGCACATGGGAACTGCTTCTTTGAGAGCAAACATAAAGGAAGGGACAAGCAATTAGCAATAAATGATGTTAACGATCAGAGGCAGCTCTTAACCTGCTTTTCCATAGTCTATGACCCAGCCTGAAGGAGCTGTTTCACTGCTGTAACAAACACACACGTACACACACACTGGATGGATTTAAGGTTAAATGATACTTCTTCAAACAGGAAAACAGCCTCATGCCTGTCTCCACCTCAACTTGCATATCCATGCAAACTCCAACACTGATTTCTGCCAAAACAGATTGATCAATTTATCAATCAGTTATTGCAAAAGCTCTGACACAATTGCACCAGCGTCAAATCAGTGTATGCACAAAGACTTTCTTTTCAGGTGTGTTCCATAAGATGCAGTGTCATGTGTTCAGTTCCATAATTAAAACCGAGGGAAGAAGCCCTCCAAAGTCCTACAGTGAGACATTTGGTGTTCCCCTTAAAGCAGGATGGAAAGTAACTCTTGATCCTACACAGACCAGGATTTTACAAGGATCCTGAAGTCCAATAAACTCCTTCCACACTGGGAAACATGACCGTGCCACAGAACAGGCAGGAAAAGGGTTCCATGATTTATGCCAATGTCATATTTTATTACCAAAAAGCAGCTTCTAGCAGCTAATGCCTGGGAAGAAAGCAGTTTTTAATAGCAGGTGTGAATTGCTTGAAAAACAAATCCTGTTTCAACGTGCAACTCACGGAAGTAATTTATCCAGGATTGTTTCCTTCTCAAAGAGGGTGAAAAATGCTTCTTCAAAATCATTTACTAGAAACTTTGCCACTGACCCGGAGCAGGGGCAGCCCAGCTCTTTCCCCAACCACCACATGACTTACACTAACAGACGTCAGCAGCACCTTTCCTGAAACTCCTCCTGTGCCACAAGCAGCACATGGACACGGCATAGGCCACTGCTTCCCAGTTATTCCCCAGCTCTGCACGGCCTGGACCTATGGAAGGACCTTCTTCTGCCCCAGGGAAGGTTGGGCACTTTGCTCCCCCATCCACCACATCTCATAACCCTGCAAGTCATGGAATCATGGAACAGTTTGGGTTGGAAGAGACCTTTAGAGGTCATCTAGTCAACACCTGGCCATGGGCAGGGACACTTTCCACTAGTCCAGGTTGCTCCAAGCCCCATCCAATCTGGCCTGGAACACTCCCAGGGATGGGGCAGCCACAGTTTCACTAGGAAAGCTGTGCCAGGACCTCACCACCCTCCTTGTAAAAACCTTCTTGCTTTTACCTAATCTAAACCAACCTCTTTATTCCAAACTCATCACCCTTTGCCTATCCCAACAGACCTAACTGTCACACTCCCATTTCCACTAAGCCTTCCAAAACCTTTCAATACACACAACGAAGTGTTAAAACAGACAGGGGTCATTGCTGTGGATGATTTCCATTCCCATTTTTCTGTCCATGAAAGTTAACCACCGCACTGTGGACAGCCCAGGGAGCCTCCTCCTCCTGCCCCCGCAGCTGAGCCCGGGCCAGACGTCCAGGCACAGCCCTGGCTGCCTCCCACGCTCAGCCCCAGCCAGGGGTAGCAGATAGGCAGCAACTACGTACAAACTAGTATAAACCTCTGCAAGAAAACAATAATAACACCATCTTACAATAAAACCATCTTCCTGCCAAGGAGTCCTGATAGCTCTGCTCAGCCTAGTCAGACAGGCTGCTTAAAAAAACATAGAAAACCTGTGACGCACTAAATAAACTACATTTAGCATCATTATGCTCTTTGCTTCTGTACAAGGGAAAACTCTGATGAAATTCAAGCTTGTTAGACTACCCCTTTCCATCCTCCTGTCACGACATTCCTCCTATGGACTAGGAATTCCAAGGAATACATTCACCAATTTTCAGTCAATATCTTTTCTTTTTCCTACTCAGAATGATAAAATAAACTTCTCAGCGGGGAAGTTTTAGCACTGTGACATTAACACTTTGCCCTCCCTAAGAGTACTTTGCTCTTAAATCCCAAACTACCTCAGTTCTCAGCACACTAACATTCAATACATTGCCACATCTATGCACAGAGATGCTCCTCACAATTATTTTAAGTTCTTCCCTCTAGAAACCTATTCAATCAGATTAGTTGAACCTGAAAGCAATTTAAAGCCTTCATCAGAACTTCTCAGTGGTCTTTCCTCTCAGATTATGAGCATATATCACGTATACTTTTAATTAATTAATTAAAATTCAGTGTATTTATATTATTAATGTTCATGCCTGTACAAAACATTTCACACATACACACAGTTATTAACTGTTCCCAGACAATTTCTTCCCTACTCTAGCACTTTTGTTCTAAAAAGATAAACAAATATTAGTGGCAAATCCCTCAACTCCATTCCAACAGCTCTCCAGAGTGGAGAGCTCTCAACAGAGTGGAGTCTGGCCTAGCCCTGCCACCAGGGCTGTTCCCAGGGCAGACCTGAAAGTGAAAGTGAGACCAAGCACGTGGGAAACCTGAGCCTCTGCCCTAAATCACCACCAATTCATCCTCTTCTGAAAAGCCTTTCACAAATTCCAAGTTTCCACAGGAATATATCCTTTCCCTTCCTGGCTTTTAAAGACAGCTGCCTAGAGGTCCCTTCAGAGGCAAATGCCACTTCCATTCACCACGGAGCTTCCCTTGCTCTTTTTGGAAAGCCAAAAGTGAATGAACTCCCTTGGCTGAACTCCACCAGGCCGGGAAGGCTCACAAACCCCAGTCTCTACGCTGACCTAGATTGGGAATGCCAAATCTCCATATTCCAACGGCAAAATTAACTTCGCTAAGACCTTGGCTACTTCTTCTCCCAGAGCCTTTATTGAAAAGGACAACTCTGTTACCTAAGAGTTTTCCTGCAGTTCAGCCTGGCCTGGATATGACACAGGAGAGAAAACATTCCCCTTTCTCCCTCTGAGAAAATGTTCCCTGGTCTCCCCTAATGTTTTCAGGGATGTTGTAGCCTTGTTCTGTTTTTAGACTGAGATCTCACATATCCTTCCAGAGCGCACTACATCTCCCTTTTCTGCCCCAAGATCACACTGACAGTCACACATTTGCCTTTCCATAAAGCTTTTCCCTGCATAAGGGAGACCCTGGTCCATTAGAGCCAGGGGAGGCACTTTCCTCACTCCAAGCTTCCAGGGACTAGTATTTTACTGTATTCTCATCTATTCTGGCTGGTGAAAAGCAGAGCTGGTGGACAGCCACAGCCCAGAACAGCATGGTGGCTGCCTGGAGGCCCCTGATGGGACAGGAGTGGGTGGTCATGCCCAGGGAGCAGCAGCACAGCCTAGAGGGGCTCAGAATCTCTTTCTGACAGTGAAATTTTAAGTATGGAACTGCACTGAC